ATAGGGAAAGTCTGTCGACTTTAGTGTCACATCAAAAGTTATTTTTTTAACTGACTCTAAAAAAAACATGCGTTCTTGACCACTTCTTAAGACCTGGATTCAGTAATGGGACCATTAACTAGAAAGCTTTTGACCAGTTCATATGTGGAGCGACCAGCGAAGACTATTTTTTGTGATTAAAAGTTTTCATCCATTTCAATGTCTAAAGATTTAATTTTAAATGTTTAAAATTATTTTTTTAAAGTTATGTTAAAACACTTCTTGATAATATTGTATATTATTTCATTAAATATGGAAAGTATTGTTAAAGGACTTTAAAAAAATCACTGCTATGCATAATTTTAAAATGAAATTAAAACTATTTAAATTCAGATCTCATGTATTAATATTGGTGTTATTTTAAAGAAGAAAGTAGGAACTTTATCTTCAAAGGACAGTTGGGTAATTAAAGAAATTTAAATTAAAACAATATTAAATAGTTTACGTCAAACTTACGAGTTTTAACTTTTCCAGACATCAATCAACGCCATTTTATGACACCTGTAGTCAAGCGATAAGTAACTTATTTAAATAATTTTTTTAAAATTAAAATAAAAATGTCCATGTCTTGCTGAAACAGAAACTTTTAATTTAATGAATTGTGAACAAGATTAAACCAAAATAAGCGGACCGTGTTGGTTGAAGTGTATTTTCTCACATTAAAATTAGTTCTCATCACATTCATATATGGTTAGGGGGAAGCAAACAATTTTCCGGGGGCGAAGAGTGAGGTTCTCCTTTACCCTCTCGCGATTAGCCTGCATTATAGACTGCATGCCCTGGTTCCCAAGTCAACCTTCGTTACTGATATATATATATATATATATATATATATATATATATATATATATATATATATATATAGATGTTTCATTAAAGACGGCTCACAAGTTACTGCGATTAAGTTTTTATTTAATTTTTCTTGTGTTCATACAAGTGTTTTTTTTCTGGATACAAAGTGTGTAAAAACTGATCAAAAGTTCTGCATATCCGAGAGTTTTCGGCAATTCTTTTAGTCGTTATCAAAGACGACTTTTATTTTTAAATGAATGTGTGGATTTTATGTATGTATCTGATGTTATAGGAATGTTTTATTTTACAAATACGGTCAGCTCGTTGTGGCCATGTTCATAGTGTTAATGAGTATTGGCTTTTCCTTTTTATTATGAGTGCTTCCATTATTTTTAATCGTTTTTACATGTGGATGACGCTATTATACTTGTATTTTCTACTAGTATGTTGCAGATGGAGTTTGGTAGGTTTGCGTGTGTGTTTAAAAAAGTTCTAATTGAGCTATGGTCAGATAAGTGTAACGTGAGTCGTCTAGATAGGCATGTAGTGGTATAACCAATATAATTATTTATGAGTTTAGTTTGATCAGGAACACAGTTCCTTAAGGAAAGTGTGAACTAGTAAATATTAGTTCGGCGTCATTTTGATTTGGTAGGTGTGTTATTATTGTTGTTGATAGGATGATGTTTTAGATTTTTTGTCGTAGATAATCAATTTGATTTTCTTGTTCTGGTCGACAGTGCTGTGTATTTCTTTATGATATTTCTAAGAGAACATTCATCTTGCTTATACAGTGGCCTAAGAAAAGTTTTTAGCCAGCAGGAATAAACTATATCCAATTTGAAAATTTAATTACGTAATCCTTACTCAACATAAATAAACAGTATTTGGAACTAGTATGGAGTAGGTCCTCCATTTGCTAGTTTCAGTTCTTGTATTCGATTTTTCATGGATTTGATCAAGTTATCAACAATCGTCTGATCCTTATTTTGTCACTCCTTTTGCAATATTTCTTTAAGGGTAGCAACTGACGTGATTTCGTTTGCACGTTCTCGAAGTTTTCGGTCAAGGTGCTCCCAAACGAGCTCTATTGGTGTCATGTTAGGCTACCCATGGCAGTGACTTGATTCCTTGCGATTCCTTCCAGGCCTTTGATACTTTTCTCGCATGACATACGGATCCATCTTCTTGAAAAAGGTAGACATTCTTGTCAATCTGATTGGTTTCAAATAGTGGGAGTAGTCCTTTCTCTAATATTTGACAGTATTTTGGACGATTCAACCGCACGTCAACAGGAATCAGCTCAGATTTTCCTCTAAACCAGACAGCGCCCCACACCATTGCTCCAATCCCTCCATGTTTCACGGTCGCCTGCAGACATTCAGTGTTCCAAGTCTCATTCTGATTTCTCCAAACATAAACCTATCTCGAATTCGAATATTGGCAGAATTTCCTTTCATCTGACCAAATTACAGACTGCCAAAATTCATAATATTTGCTCTCGAATTCTTTCGCCCAGTCCATACACCTGTTTCTGTTAACTTCTGAAATCAAGGACTTCTTTCTTGCGACTCTTCTTTGATAGCCGAGCTCTTCCAGAGTCTTTCTCACCTCATATGGCGGTATTTCCATGCTGTTGGCGACATCTTTGACGCTATGACGATGGTTTCGGATGACTTCCATCTTCAGCGCCCTTTTCGTTCACTCAGACACGATGTTTGGTCTTCCTGAACGTTGTTCCACACAACAATGGCCTTCTTCATTAAATTTCTTAACAATATTATTAAGCGTTTGATGATTAACCTGGAAAAACCTAGAAATTTCTCTATTTGACTTGCCACACTGATACCATCCTATTATTTGCCCTCGTAAAAATTCACCAATTTTTTTTTACTTCCGCGAACTTTCATTGCAAAATGTTAGTCAACTATCGTTTATAGATGAGCATAGCTAGATACTAACACGGTATTGTCTGAATAAAAGAAGATACGTTATTAAAATTGCTGTAATTAAGGGTGGCTAAAAACTTATCATAGCCTACTGTAGTTCACATGTATATAGGAGATAATGTTATTACTTAAATGTTAATGTTTTGTTTTTGTCTGTATATTCATTATCGTTATTAGTTACTTTGGAAAGAAATAGTCTAATCTGGTGGTCAATGAGGTAATTAGGAAAACCATTGTTAACTAGCGTCTGTTTCACATTAGTGAGTTCTTTAAGGAAAAGGAGACGAGAGGGTGAATTCTCGTCTGCTCTCTTGAGGATTTTTTTTTTTATAACTACTATTTTATATCTAATTGGATATTCACTCTTAGAATTAAGGTGACAATAGTTTCTGCTAATGGGCTTTTTGTATAACGAAGTGGTGAATGTGCTATTACTGAATTCTACGAAAGCGTCTAAGAATGGGAGTTTACTATTTGGACTTCATAGGTAAAGTTAAGGACGGAAGTATAAAGTATGAATCCATCTCTTCTCCTCTCCCACCTATAGATAAACAGACTGAACCCTATATTCTTGTTTAGGAGAAAGAAATTTCCGAATTCGAGCCCTGTGAGGGTTGGACTCCATCTTGCCCAGGAAACGCCACTGCTGCTGTGACTGCAAGAGGTAAGGGATTACTATATCTGGAAACTGCCTCAATATTAGTCTCATTAATACGAATTTTATTGCGAAACATTCAATTACAAAATAAAATCTGAGGTATTGTGAGTATGCATATATGTATTTCACTGTCTATGCCTCTTAGTCTATGGGTGCTATTGGTATTCTGTAACCTAGTACTACTTGCTGCGTGGTTGGATTATCGCCGACTAAACCGGTTCCTCTGCCAGGTTTTTTTTTTCTGGTGAGAAATGTGGCTAGGAATACTTCAGAATTACGAGGTCGAAGATTATCGCCCCTTTCGACATATCTTTCGTTTTGTTACATTGCCTTCTGCTCATACGTGCTTATAGTTGGTACTATTGGTACACCGTGGTCGAAGTTTGAGCTTGATCGGGTCTCTTTTCTTGCTGCTGTTACAGTGTAAACATAGCCGCTCCGCTAGTAGTGTGCAAGGAGGAACAAAGAGCAGTAATCCGATTTCTCTGTTCGGAAGGTGTGTCAGAGGGTGAAATTCATCGGAGGCTTTAAAACTAGTTCCTGAATTAGATGTTTTTCTGTAATTGGTAAATTTACCAAAGTCTATATTCATTTTTCTCTTATGTTATCTATCCGAGTACCTTCGAGTGTTGCTACAAGGTCTTTAAGAATTTCAACAAACACTTAATATATGCCAGATATATTGACAACATTTTCATATTAACGGAAAAGTAAATGAATCAGAGAAACATTTGAAAGTAACTCAGTTCTACAAGTCAATTATAAAGTCAACATTCAAAATAGAATCCCTTTCCTGGATGGCCAAGAAGATGCTAATAATGGACCATTGAAATGACGTCACCTTGAGCGTCTTGAAATTGGTGACAGTAAAAGTGAGAACGCAGGAATACAAAAGACACAATCGTTAAAAACGAATGTATCAACTTTCGAAAGTACTCAGAGAAAATATATAAAATCAAAATAAATATGAACTTTAATAAATTTACCGATTACGTAAGACAAAATAATTCGGAAATTTGAAAAAGTAAATAAAAAATTTGATAGACAGTACTTCCAATTGCAAGATAAGCACTTTCAGTTACCTTTATTTCTTCAATCTGATTATGTTTCGTACATAGGTAAGTTTAATAAATATCATATAACTGGCCACTTTAATACCTGTAAAATGTATTGTACTTAAAACATAAACACTAACCTCAACGGCTATCAACGCGTAGATGTTTAATAGCAAGTAACTTGTCTTCGGCTCGAATCCAAGCACACGAGAACCGAAAATTTCACTCTGTCTGAGAATCTTTTGCGTTGTAGTTATTGGCCGGATATAGAGCCCGAGTGACGGAAAAAGTGAAAGGAAGCAAAAGAAAGTGAAAACTGTATTCAGCGATAGAAGGTTTACGTGAATTCGCGTCTATACACAATCGCCATGTTTCCGATTGTGTTTCTTTTAAGTCACCACTGATGGCGTCTTTTAATTCTTTTCCGGCCTTTAGATTATTGTGCGGACAAAAAATAGCTTTTTTAAAAAAAAGCAGCGGAAAATTATTTTGTTTTGATTTTTAAATCTAAAAACTGGTCTGGAAAAAATTAAAAGAAAGACAAAAAGAAAGACAAAAAGAAAGAGGAAAAAAAAACGAACGATTGGAATAAAGGAATACAAATGAGTTTGAAAGAATAAATTCGAAACTGTAAGAGAATAAAGAACGGAAAAACAGGTAAGAGAAGACGGAGAAGAATGAACTCGAAAAATTACACGCAGAAAACAAAGAAATTGATGAAATCTTCAAGAGAGCGACACAAAAATCTTTATAAGAAAAAATGGTAAATATAAAATAAAATAGATAGACATATAAAAAGATACTCGATTCTTGGTGTAATAGTTAACATACTAGTCCAACAGATCATTACTACCCCTATAGCATATATGAATAAATACTGAGGGCATTGCAAATTGGAAAGAAAGAAAAACTAATGAGAGAAAGGAAAAGAAAAAGCTAATGAGAGCAATTAAAAGAAACATGATAAGAAAGAAAGAAAGGAAGGAAGGAAGGAAGGAAGAAACGTTAATGAAAGAAATGAAAAAACAAAAGGGTTAGAAAGAAAGAAAGGAAGGAAGAAACATTAATGAAAGGAATGAAAAGAAAAATGGCTAGATCGAAAGAAAGAAAGAAAAACTAATGAGAGAAAGGAAAAGAAGAAAACAAAAAGCTAATGAGAGGAATTAAAAGAAACATGATAAGAAAGAAAGGAAGTAAGAAGGAAACGTTAATGAAAGAAATGAAAAGAAAAATGGCTAGATAGAAAGAAAGAAAACTAATGAGAGAAAGGAAAAGAAACAAAAAGGTATGATAAGAAAGAAAGAAAGGAAGGAAGGAAGAAAGAAACGTTAATGAAAAAAATGAAAAGAAAAATAGCTAGAAAGAAGGAAAGAAAGGAAGGAAGAAAGAAAGAAACGTTAACGAAAGAAATGAGAAGAAAAATGGCTAGAAAGAAAGAAAGGAAGGAAGAAAGGAAGAAACGTTAACGAAAGAAATGAGAAGAAAAAATGGCTAGAAAGAAGGAAAGGAAGGAAGGAAGAAAGAAAGGAAGAAACGTTAACGAAAGAAATGAGAAGAAAATGGCTAGAAAGAAGGAAAGGAAAAGGAAGAAAGGAAGAAACTTTAACGAAAGAAATGAGAAGAAAATGGCTAGAAAGAAGGAAAGGAAGGAAGAAAGGAAGAAACGTTAACGAAAGAAATGAAAGAAAATGGCTAGAAAGAAGGAAAGGAAGGAAGAAAGGAAGAAACGTTAACGAAAGAAATGAGAAGAAAATGGCTAGAAAGAAGAAAAGGAAGGAAGGAAGAAAGGAAGAAACGTTAACGAAAGAAATGAGAAAAAATGGCTAGAAAGAAGGAAAGGAAGGAAGGAAGAAAGGAAGAAACGTTAACGAAAGAAATGAGAAGAAAAAAGAAAGAAGGAAAGGAAGGAAGAAAGGAAGAAACGTTAACGAAAGAAATGAGAAGAAAAATGGCTAAAAGAAGGAAAAAGGAAGGAAGAAAGGAAGAAACGTTAAGAAAGAAAAGAAGAAAAAAGAAAGAAGGAAAGGAAGGAAGAAAGGAAGAAACGTTAACGAAAGAAATGAGAAGAAAAAATGGCTAGAAAGAAAGAAAGGAAGGAAGAAAGGAAGAAACTTTAACGAAAGAAATGAGAAGAAAAATGGCTAGAAAGAAGGAAAGGAAGGAAGAAAGGAAGAAACGTTAACGAAAGAAATGAGAAGAAAAATGGCTAGAAAGAAGGAAAGGAAGGAAGAAAGGAAGAAACGTTAACGAAAGAAATGAGAAGAAAAATGGCTAGAAAAAGGAAAGGAAGGAAGAAAGGAAGAAACGTTAACGAAAGAAATGAGAAGAAAAAATTAGAAAAGAAGGAAAGGAAGGAAGAAAAGGAAGAAACGTTAACGAAAGAAATGAGAAGAAAAATGGCTAGAAAGAAGGAAAGGAAGGAAGGAAGAAAGGAAGAAACGTTAACGAAAGAAATGAGAAGAAAAATGGCTAGAAAGAAAGGAAGGAAGGAAGAAAGGAAGAAACGTTAACGAAAGAAATGAGAAGAAAAATGGCTAGAAAGAAGGAAAGGAAGGAAGAAAGGAAGAAACGTTAACGAAAGAAATGAGAAGAAAAATGGCTAGAAAGAAAGGAAGGAAGGAAGAAAGGAAGAAACGTTAACGAAAGAAATGAGAAGAAAAAATGGTTAGAAAGAAGGAAAGGAAGGAAGAAAGGAAGAAACGTTAACGAAAGAAATGAGAAGAAAAATGGCTAGAAAGAAAGGAAGGAAGGAAGAAACGTTAACGAAAGAAATGAGAAGAAAAATGGCTAGAAAGAAAGAAAGAAAAGCACATGAGAGAAAGAAAAAATGTGAAATGAAGAGAAAAAGTTTTACAAAGGAAGAAAGAAAAGCTAATGAGAGAAAGGAAAAGAAAAAAAGAAAAACTAATGCGAAAAATGAAAAGAAAATTCATAGAAAGAAAGAAAAAAAGAAGAAAAAAGTTAATGAGAGAAATGAAAAGTAAAATGGCTTGAAAGAAAGAAAGAAGCGCAACATTGAAAAACAAATAAATTCAGAAAAAGAGAGAAGAAAAAAGCTAGATATATGGTAGAGAAAACGCGGACTCAATAAAAAAATAGTTGACTATTAAAAAAAAAATTAAGAAAATAAAATAAAAAGCGAAGATTATGTAACCGAGCAAAATCTTTGTCAGATTAGAAATAATAATAAAAAAAAATAATGCAAAAGTAGACGAAATGAAAGAATCTAGTAATTTCAAAGAAATAATGGCATCGAAGACAAATGAAACGCGTTAACAGAATAAAATTTTATTAAAGAAATTGAGAAAAAGAAGCAAACTAAAAGGTTGAAATTCCGACGTAACATTTTCTCGAAAGTATTCAGACAGAATTTTCTTTTTAAGTCTGGAAAAAAAACAGCAGAAAAATAAATGAATGAAACAAGAAAGAAAACGAATGAATAAAAAAATTGTAAATATAAAATATTACGCTGGGTTAAAAAAATGTCTGCTTTACGAAAATAAAGCGAATACGTACGCGCATGAGTGAAAGAATGGAGGGAGGAAGAGAGATATATGTATAGAGTGGTAGAGAGGTAGAGGTAGAGTGTGTGTGTGTGTGAGAGAGAGAGAGAGAGAGAGAGAGAGAGAGAGAGAAAGACAAAAAGACAAAAAGAAAGAAAGAAAGAAAGAAAGAGAGAGAGCAGATGTGTGGCCAGCCACGTGACTGCACATTTCACTCTTCACCAGAGACCAGTGTTCGATTTCAGATAAAGTAATTTCGAATGCTAATTTTCTTACCAAGAATGTCCTTTTTACATTGAAGACAATCGTTTTAAATCTATTTCCCTCTACTTTTATCTCATGTGAGAGCAAACTTGAATGAACCAGACTGCCTTAATGGAGTAGGTATCAATACGTTCAAGTCAGCGAATGTACAGGGTGGTCGGAAAGTCTTTGTCCCCAAACTACATCGTGATTTTCCAAGCGTAGCTCAGATGTGGCACAAGGCCGAAAGCATAGGGCACCCAGTGAGGTTCGAAACTAACTACTCAGTCGTAATTGTTCTAGCGAGACAAGCTTGCTAACCATTACACCACCTCGAGGTGACCTTGTCCCCCCTCGAATACATAATATAATTTCCTATTTCAGATGGTTGACACGAAAATGATAGTGTTCATACAGACCTTCTCAATCTGTGACAGCGTCAATGGAAGTGAAGAAACTGAATTCAGTACATTCCTTTTATTCTCATTACTTTTTGGTAGGGGTGACAAGACTTTCCAACTACTATCTTCCTCAATCCAACTTCTGAATAAGAAATATCGTCCGTTAACACCGGACTGCTGAGGGCCTAAGCTATATGAAAAAAAAAATTAAAGTAATAATATAAAATAATTGTCTTTTTATTAATGTTCACCCATACAAGGCCCAAGAGCCATTCAAGGTAGAGGGTTACTGTGTGGTAAGAAGTGAAGGTAACAGTTAACTCTAGAACATTTCAGTGTTCAGTCATTATACGTTAGAAATATAGTATAGAAATAGTTCTTAAAGTGAACCAGAAATATATATATATATATATATATATATATATATATATATATATATATATATATATATATATATATATATATATAATAATGATAATAATAATAATGGACTCTCCCGTCGGTTTCGACCTATGAGGATCTGACAGCTTATTGATTCAGTTATGAAAGTTTGTGCGATAATCTTAAGTGGCATTTAAGACCCGCTAGTGATTTACAAAGGAGGCCACATATGGAGCAAGTGTGAGGATTGTGAGATGAGATCACTGTTAGATTGGCTGACCTTTTAGATCGTGCTCTCGCTTCTTGAAGATGATTCAGACAAGCAGACTGAAAATTGCTGAGCCCACTAAAACACGTGGATCTCCATTCTACCCGCTCCAAGTCTAAGCGCTCAAGGGTGTTCTGTGGTATATTGACTGCTGACAAGTTGCTTTTCAGCTTGTCTTTGTATCTTAGCCACGGGCGTCCTACATTCCTGTAGCCTTGATCTAACTGGCTGTACATTAGGATCTTGGGTATCCTGTCATCAGACATTCTCAAAACACTCCACCGTAACTGAGACTCAATGAGAAAAGTCTCGATTCCTCCAATATTACACTTGTTAAACAGGTCTACGTTAGATGTCCGATCTTGAAGGTTAACTACATAGATTGCACGGAGACAGCTTTTATTAAACAGGTCTACATTAGATGTCCTATCTTGAAGCTTACCTCCACAGATTGCACGCAGACAGCTATTATAATATATATATATATATATATATATATATATATATATATATATATATATATATATATATATATATATAATTATATATATATATATATATATATATATATATATATATATATATATATATTATAATAGTTATATATATATGTATATAACCGAAGGTTTGAGTCTGCTAGTGTAGTTCAGATTGTTGATCATAGTTGCAGTATATATATATATATATATATATATATATATATATATAACATATGCATTTTATAAGATCACTACAAAAATTGCAATTTTATTTCGGCCCTTCTGGTGTTTTATAAAGTGATGATGTTGAATGGAAAAAAATATATATATATATAATTCTTGATGATTTAACTTCAACGTATAAATCCTAATGATAAAAGAAACCATTCAATCCTGTCTTAATAGTAAATCTGGTTGGTTTGATATGGTCAAATTGTTAGCTGATAAAAAAATGACCTACATTCTGTTGTTAACAGAGGAAAGAAATGGCTTGAACCTCCCAAACAAAACTACCCTCTATTAATCCTATCAGAGAACCCTTTCTGCCTTCCATCAGTATGGCGGATGCTAACCACCAGGAAAGTGACTCATTGAGCCTTCTAGGACTAACGTTTTCCACTGATATGAAGGGGAAAGATTATATCAAATTGATTGTCAGGTCTGCTGCTAAGAAGGTTTGTTCCCTGTGTCGTGCAAGATAATTCTTCTTGACAGAATATATCGTACAAGTCTACCATTCATCCATGCTTAGAATATTGGTGCTATATATGGTCTGTTGCTCCTGCTATATATTTTGACATGCTTCCAAAGAAGAATCTGCAATGTTTTTCGTCCTGACCTAGCATCTCAACTTCAGTCATTTTCTCACCACTGAAATGTAGCTTCCCTGTGACTTTTCTATAAAAAATTTCATGGTAACTGTTTTAATGAACTCTCCGTATGGTACGTAGAATTTATGAATTTAAGCGCATTGCTAGATTGCCGGCAAGGTTTCATCATTTTACAGTTGAAATGACTAATTGTAACCGTAAATTCTAAGCTAACAGCTTTTTTTCTCGCTTTTGGAATTACCTCCCGGCTTCTTGCATTCCAGTCGTTTGATCTTCAAAAATTCAGAATGCAAACTTAATCGTGATTTTCAGCCCTCTTAAATCATGTTCTTTTATTATTTTTGCTACTTAATAATTTTCTTATATTCGTTCACAGTCAGTATCCCCACTGCGTGTAAGAAGCTATAGTGCCTTGATGGGGGCAAAATTATATATGTATATATATATATATATATATATATGGTGGACTCTCCCGTCGTATTCGACGTATGAGGGTCAAGCAGCTCAGTTCCTAGAATCTATAACACATATGATTTGATTATAATGGTAAAGGATTTGTGCAGAACCAACCAAACTTTTTGAATAGCCGAATACAGAGACCTGGATCACTACGTGCCGCAAGGTCCCCAAACGACCCTCTGCAGGTTTTGAATTCAGAGTTTTCCTTCTCCTAGACCAGTTGCCATCCAAGGCTATAGAACCCAGTCTGTTCTGCTATTTTACCCATAACGGGAGGAAGAAGAAGAGGATTCACACCCTTCCGAAGGGTATGAGCACGTAAGTGAATGTAATGGATTCGACTGGAATTCGAACTCGGTTCAATCAGAGCCGCTATCTATTATATATATATATATATATATATATATATATATATATATATATATATATATATATATATATATATATATATATATAGGTAAATCCTATAACTATTAGGTAAGTCCAGCACTGACAATACATTCCGTTAATCAGCAGATCAACCTTTTGATATATCTAAGATCATCAAAGCAATTATCTTTGTCCGAAGCTCAATACATTTTAATGATTAATACGTTTTGCAGTTAAAAATCGACAGAAAATCAGCATCCTCTACCAAGTGTTTTGGCCACACGTATTCGAGGCTACCCGTCTACTATGGCGGCTATCCAATCCCCATTGCGGACTCTTGCTCTATTAAGCACCCACAGAGCCCACCTATGCTGAGCAGACCTTAGTTACAGTTTCTGGGAAAGAGCGTGTTAATCTAGCGTGATCAACAATTTGAACAAGGCGAATTTAATACGAATCACCTATCACAGCTATCGACGGCGGCCAAGAGTTCCGTCTACACAATTTCACCGACAAGGCTTGGGTTAACTCACAAGGCTTGGGTATGGTTTTCACGCTGGGATCGACCCGTCCAGTCCGATAACATAAGGAAGTCTCGAATTCGGGTCTCATGGACAGAATGTGATCGTTCTAATCACTCGGCCACGTGCCCATTTCTAAGAATAGGGCTCAAGATAAATCTTTCCAAAGCAGAAACGATGATTTGGAATTGGAATGAAAGCACCTAGCCTGAACCAATCATAAACATTTAGGATTAGTAAATAATACACGTTTCTGATATCTCGGTGTATGGATTAGGTAACAAATCTAGTATCTTAGATCAAGAATAAGAATAATAAATTTAGTATCGGAGATAAAGAAATTGAATAGAGATTACGCTATGCCCACCACCGCAAATTGCTACAAAACCAAACGACAACCTGAAAACTCGAGTCATGTCCTTAAAAAGTCTCATCTGATCGAGACTTTCATATGGATGCATTGCATAGCGTCAAATCCCTTCAGAAATATCTAAACTGCCAACTGTATACTGTCGGATTTACCTCCTACTTAATCCCCAAATTTTCACTAGGGGTCATTCTCCCCGTACCATAAATACTGGGCGACTTCTTGCCTCGATCTCTTTTTCCTTCAGGCCTCGTTCCGCATACCACCTCGCGTGGAGGTGAGGTAATTCTTTCTCTTCTTTCTTCATTTCAGTGAATACCGCTACTATTTGAGCTCTTACAAAAGACAGCGTTTCCCATTTCTGGGAAGACGCTATGAACATTACAAACATACACGTACGTACGAACATTCACTCAAATACGAACATTCACCAAAGAAAAAAACACAAATGTTCACACACAAAACAAGTGTTAACTATGCTTTGTAATTTTTGTTAATAATATATTTGTTATATATATATATATATATATATATATATATATATATATATATATATATATATATATATATATGTCGGTCTTGTTTTCTTCTTTCATCTTCGGTTGGACACAACTAGGGTCCGCCATTTCTCTTGTATCTGGACCTTCTTCAAGCAGGAAATTTAAACGCACGTATTTTCTTTTCATCTTCACCCCCCGGTCCTCTCCAATACAACCGTTTTCTAAGATCAATGGTAAAATATGATTTGAGCAAGTGAAGCCTGACAGTCTTGGCAAAAACCACCTGGAGCTAGAAAATCACAAACATAGAACTGTACCAAATAACAGAAATCAGTTCTCGAGGACTACCAACAGCGGCAACAACGAAAATGGATAACACGTGTAACTCAAAGAGAAAGTAATGTCATAATCAAAATGTTAACATTCCACAATACTTGAACTAAAAGGTCAGAAAGGAAATCCATCATCAGTCGTCGGAAGAGCTATAACAGCTACTGGACTTGAGAAAGCCATTTTCCTGAAAAATTGTTTTAATAGAAAAATACCATAAATTTCAACTGGAAACAATACTGACTGCTCGGTTAATGTATGCGAAATGTTTCCTTGTAGGGAAACCGTTAATATTACCATTTACTATTTGTCACATATTTCCTCATAACTGCTTTCCAGAAACTAAGCAAAGTATTAAGAAATTTGAAAAATGTAATATCTAATGTTTTATATGGCAGTGAATCCTGGACGATCTCCTCCCAGTTGAAGAGGATACTAGAAGTGATAGAGATGATAAAATACCATGGACACAAAATATAAATAACGATTAAGTCTTAAAGAAAATAAACAACTTATACTTATAATCAGAATGAGTTGAAATTTATGTGACGCATAATTGATTTGTTTATTTTTTAAGGTTTATCAACCCTCTGGGTATATTTAATATTTTTAGATCGTAAGAATTTTATTTGGAAATAATAAGGATTTACTGATACAAGTCTTACTAATTAACCTATAGCCGGGGGCGAACGAAGAAGATGTGGACTAATACCTTTCCCAAGGATATTTGCGCATAAGTGAATATAGTGAACTCAACTGGAACTGGAACTTGGCTCTCCAATTTCTAATTTCGAGTGGTTATTAATTACACCACCCGCACCTTCAAGTTTACAGCGCCTGGTATTCCCAAACGCTCACCCATCTAGGTACTGACCAGGCTAGAGGTTGCTTAACTTCAATGATCGTACGAGAACCGGTGTTTCAACATGATATAACCGTAAGTACATAGGGAGGAAAGAGGACATAGAAAATTTAACAATCACAAGGCATATTGAAAGTAAAAGAAGAAGGGTGAACCAGCGAATCACCCAGTTAAGAAGATTTTTTGAATAAATGTGAGCAGAACAACGCAGGATGGAAAACATGAAACTTACAACGTCGAAAGACGGGAAGTTGTGGAGCGTCATGTCATACATGTTCTGAAAAGACATGGTACATAAAAAAGAAGTTAAACTTGAATCTATGCTATTAACTTGAAGATTCCATTTGTATTCTAAACATAAGCATCAATCTAAAGTTAATATACCGCTTAAATTTAACGGGAAGTTGTGGAGAGCCATGATCGTCCACGTTCTGAAAGGATATAGCACATAAGAAATCATGCTTGAAACCATGCTATTAACTTGAAGATTCGTTTTATATTATAAACATTATCAACTTCAAGAGGAAGTTGTGGATAGTCATAATCATCCACGTTCTGAAAAGACATGGTACAATAAGTTGCGAGATCAGTACGCTAACTGATATACTCTGAAAGGTTTTCTTTGCCGTAAGTCATGTAAAGTGTGTTCCAATAACTTGGAACGTTTTTAAATATGAATTAAGTTTAAGCGTCTAATAAATTTTTTTTCAACTTAAGTCTTTGGCAATTTTAACCATGGAAAGATTAACAATCAAACAACGTGTTAAAGTTTCAAGAGTGCAACTGAAAAAATTGTTCGTTAATTCAAACAAACTGGGTCGATGGCAGATGTGAAAACAACATTGCACGCTCGTTTACGCCGTTTAGCTGAAAACATTGCTGCAGTGCACGAGAATGTGTCCGAAAATCCAGACCCCTCTATTCGCCATCGCGCGCAGGTATTGAACCTCTCCACAACAACGTTACATTTTTTTTAATTGCACTCTCGGTTGGCTGATTATGTTGACCAAAAAAATCGCAAAGTGCGCGAAATGCATTTCTGTTTGAATGTCCATTTTCGTAATAGGTTTCCATACGTTTAAAATGTTGTTTGATTGTTAATCTTTCCATGGTTGAAATTGACAAAGACTTAAGTTGCTTAATCTGAAAGAAAAAGAAAAAAAAAACTCATTAGACACTTAAACTTAATTCACATTTAAAATCTGTCCAAGTTATTGGAACAGCCTTTATATGCGAATATTTTGTTTCTTAAAAAATATTGACCGACTTTAGTGGATTTCTTTCTCGTTCGTTTACAATACTAAATTAATTTGTTGGTTTTCGTCTCTTCATGTCGCATAATATATTTCAACCAACTAAAGAAACCCACCAAATTCTTTATCGGATTGAAGTTTGCTAAAGAAACAAAGTTACAATGAAAAGGATAGGCGAGAATAAAAGGTGAAAAAAAAAAAAAAAAAAAACAATAAAAAAAAATAGCAAATAGCTTTTTAAAATAAGTCGAAAGAAAAAAACTACAGAATCTAAATGAGGTTTATATCAGAGCGGAGAAAGAAGACAAAAACCAGTGAAAAAGTTGCATAATTAAAACTTGTTTTTAATACAGAACTGTAAAGAAAATGATCAAAATATCAAAAAAAAAAAATGAAATAAAATAAAATAATGAAACAATATAAAACTAAATGATGTAAGGTTATTGGTTTTATGAAATGTTAATACTTTTGAGCGATTTAAAATACCCTACCACTGTTAAACGGCACTCTTCACAGTTAACTTACTACTACATGTTACTAAATATTCGCAAAATACAAGTTTGCTTGGTTGATTTTGTTTAGCAGTATATTAACATCTATGGGTTCTTTAATGCCGAAATCTAAATATTTTGTACGTAATTTTATGCCTTCAGCGATAGATATTTTGTATATAATTTTATACTTTCAAACTGAAATTATAACAGCCTCATATAAGAGCGATCACGAAGAGTTTGGCTATGCGATTGCGATTGAAAGCAGCGGAACATCGTTAGTGATATCAGTTTTTCAGATGTAGGCTTTAAGTTTATTTTGTTTTACGGCATATCGTCCTCAATGGGTTATTTAATGCCGACAAGATTTTTAGAATAGATTCATTTGTTTGTTATTTATGATTTTATTTATTTATTTGCATTTTTCTCGCACTAAATATAAACCCTCCTTATCATATGCACTTCACGGAACGGTCTCCTGTGGTTGGTTGGTTGATTTTGTTTAGCGGCATATGAGTTATTTAATGCCGAAATCTAAATATATTGTACATAATTTTATGCTTTCAGGGAAAACGTATGTTTTTTTAGATATATAATTTGGATATATATAAATGATAGATGACAAAATGTATTGTTAGTAGTTTTATCTCTATCTATAAAAGGCAGGATATGTGTGTGTGTGTGTGAGTAACGAATGCACGGCCGCTATTTTCGACGGATTTGCACCAAAATTTACATGCACATGCTCCAAGTTAGCGAGAAGGCCAACACCGACTTTGCATTTCCCAACTCCCATCGATAGTGGAAATAATCGATTTACTCATGCTTCTACGACAGTTTTCATGTAGTTTGCGGCCATTTTCTACTGGCCAGAGTGAGAGCCTATAGCTGGCTGCCACGAATAGGCAGATTCTATTGACCAGCGTGAGAGCAAACAGCTGACTGACACGAATGTTAACTAGCATGCTAGCATACAAAAATTCGATAGTTGCATTCGTCACAAATGGGAAAAATTTAAACCTGCATGGCACTTTACTCCAATTGGCTCATTCGCTTGCTTAAACTCAACGTTGATTCTGATTCCGCAGAACTGGGTTGGGTGTGAAAAAGTATTTGTTGTTAACATTCTTTTTTCGTTCGGTTTTTCCAGTTACGAGTCCTTTTTTTAAAGCTGATCGTTTTGTGTTCGTTTTGTTTAGTTTTTTTTTCGTAACATATTTAATATTTAGTATAGAGCTTCGAAAAAATTCGCAGTGTGAGATAGGCAAGAAGTAAGGCATGTAGCAACATCAGCAGGGAAAAGGGCACTCCTTTAAAGGCAAGGAAGGGCAAAAATATTTTAAGTCAAGTGATAGCGATTGCTGTATGAGTCGTACGATTTTTGAATCAAGCACGGGCAACGCCGAGCCATGCTGCTAATATATATATATATATATATATATATATATATATATATATATATATATATATATATATATATATATATATATATATATATTGCTCCGACATCTGATCAGGGTGGACCTGGGAACAACAGCAATTCCCCGTTCTGAAAAACCTCAATATACTAACCAGGGGCCTTGCTTCCGGATGTAGTTTATCATCATATTAAAGACTGCAAAATTCAAGGCCAAAGTTCCACAGGGTGGAGGATTACTTACTGAGGTTGATTTCCATATGTGAGAGGAAGTAAGTGTAGATTATGAGGATATGTAGGATAGATAACAGACGCTGAACTTGAATAGCTTAAGTTCGGAGAAACATCATCTTGGGATTCAGATTAGCGCTTCCCGGGAAAATCTCACCTAGTAGAACTTCCTCCTTACCAATGGAATACAAAGAGAATGAGGATGAGTCAAATCTGTCGGCTTGGCATGGTGGGTCCTAGCTAGTAGGAACTAGTAGATTTAAGGAATGTAGCTCGTCTGAACATTTGCCAGAGAAATAGCGATAGACTTGCAATATTTTGTCTGTGGGAAAGGGCTGTAAAGTTGAAATAATTCATCGCTGCGTAAACGCTTTTGAGATCTGTCAAAGCCGGAAAGCGAGAATTGGACAGATAGGCACTAAGTGAGAATCGGACTCACTACTTACTATTATTAGCCAACCAACATGGCCTCGTTAGCCATTACTCCACACCGAGGTGCCGAAGTGATATAAATGAATACATGAAAAAGGTGGAAGATAATTCAGGAATTCTAAGAACCTAATTACTATAGTAATGGAAGAACAGATACACAGATATATACACTCGCAGATAGATTTTTTTATTCGATCATACAGTCTGCAATCTCGCGCCGCCGTAATAATAAAACTGGCAGCTTCTCTCGAAAACTACCTCCAATTAGTTGTTAACTGGGGCAAGAAATAGCAGATAAAAACGTCTCTGAAACGAAACTGCTATATTTTAATCATCATAGAGAACCCTTTTCCCCTCCATCTGCATGGCTGATGCTAACCTCCGAAAAAGCAAATTATGTCTTCTACGGACATCAAGTAGAGCGATTATATTAAATCAGATGCTTAGGCGCTATGGAGGTTGGTTCACTGTGGCGTGCCGATAATTTTTCTTGTCAAAATCCGTTTTGCATATTTATAAATCTATTATTCTTCCGTTCATTGAATATTATTGCCATATCTGGTCAGGTGATCCGGATATATACATCGAGATACTCAACAAAATCCCCCCAAATGGTCCTTAATATTATCTATCCTGTCATCTTTCTATCATTTCTATAAATATTTTCATGGCATTGGTTTTAATGAGCAGGTAGGTACCTCGACTGCAGGAATTTAAGCGTACTACTGGGTTGGTTATTAGGTCTCATCACCTGACTGATGGAATAGCCAGATTGTACTGTAAATTTTATTCTAATAGTTTATTTTCTCGCATCTCTCCTTTCTGGGAGTTTTTTTTCCCCGGATTCTTATTACCCTGCCATCTACGTACTTCAAACATTTAAATGCAACGGCAATTTCAATCTTTTGTTTTCCTGAATTTTCTTATTTTATTGTCATTTCTTCTCACTAAAGACTTCTCGCCTTCTTTAACTCCCAGTAACTCCTTGTGCCTTAATGGCATTAACGACTTGCTTGGATTGAAATGATAAAAAAATGGTTAATCTCAGTGGTTCCATAGTATCCAGTAACGTATAGATGCGGATGCAGCAGAGGGTGCATCGGTCTCGACCATCCATATCGGGAGGGCATCCAATCAAAGAGTGAAATAAAAATTTAGTTTATATTTAATTTGAATAACGTATTTATTTCATGTTTCATGTGTTTTTACATATTTAAAATGCCTTCATTTCTCACATTGCTCAGTACTAGGATATAACCCCCAGTATTTTAGTCTTAGGTAGATACAATCAAGGTGTTGTCTCCGGGCATCTCCAAAACTCTGCACGTCACAGCTTCACGTGTATGGATGAGAAAGAAGAGACAAGGGAGAAATAGGAGGTAAGTGTAAGTGGCACGTAGCTTGGTAAGAAAGTCGTGTGAATGAGTGACGGAATTTCTTTTAAGCTGAGCGTCGTGAACTGTTGTGGTCTGTCCCTCCTTACTGGTTTGTCCGTCTACAAACTTTGCTTACGTAATTTTCAAAGGGATCACGAAGCATTTTGGTGGGAAAGCAACCAGTTGGTTAAGAAATGTTAAATATTTATTTTTAATTTATTAACCGGAAGAATGCGCAATCTTCCGACTCAGAAACCATTTTTTGTCATTTGTTATTTGACTGGCTTGGCTGCAGACAGTCGCCATTCTAATCCTTTAACAAAAAACCTTACATCTTTTTCTTAATGCTTAATTTTTTTTTTCTATTTTTTTTGAAAAAAATTTTGTATTTATTTCACTTAGTAGAAATTTCTCTTATTTTCATTTCCTTCGAAAATTGTTTCAAGCAGTAGCGTACAGAAGATGGTGGGCAGTGGATGCAACGGACCCGGGCATCGTTATTGGGAGGTCATTCAATCAAAGCCTGAAAAAAAATTAGTTTATATTTAATTTGAATAAAGTGTTTATTTCATGTTTCATCTGTTTTTACATATTTAAAATGTCTTCCTTTCTTACATTTCTCAGTACTAGGCTTTATAAGCCCCTCCCGCCCTCTATTTGAGTCTTAAGGGACATAAAAACAAGGAGTTCCTTCCCATTGCATCACCAAACCTCTGGACCCCTCTGATAATATGCGCCTCTCCAAGACTACATACCCAATGTCCCAAGGTGAGGTTTTGAAATCAATCTCCTACACTGGTTGCTAGAAATACCTACATTTTAATTCATAGTTGGGGCGAGGATGAAGTGATAGAATGATGCCTTTCCCAAGACTGTTTGTGCGATAGATAGTGTAGGAGAAAGGGCGAGGAGACGAACGAGGCATCAAGGAATTGTGTGGAAGTTAAAAGAATAAAAAAAACAAAAACGTATAGACTTACGAATATATTTGTAATGTTTGAAGAAATCTCGTGAAAAATAATTCCCGTATTTTCCGGCTTACAAGATGCACTTTTTTTCCTAAAAAATGCCCTGAAAATACTTGTGCGTCTTCCAAGACGAAAGAGAGGCAACGCCCAAGTTCAAGTAAGCTTGGACGGTCACCTTGACTGATAGGGACGTGGATTTATATGTTGAGTCATTACACTATAATGTTAGCCATCTAATTCAGACTTTTACATGATGTAACATCAGTATTTAGCTGTTACAAGTATTTCCAAGACTATAACCTTCCTGAAACAATCTCTGTTGACTAGCAGCGGCGGGAGCCTTTCTGCTCTTGGCTTGTATGTCATTGCCATGCAAACAAAATCGGACGAGTGATTAATATAAACAATACGTGACGCCAGTATGTGAGAGACGCATGGTGAATGCGTTCTTATATGAGAATTCCTTTTTTTTTTTTTCTTAGAAATTTCTTTCCAATATTAGGGTGCGTCTTCCAAGCCGCAGTGATTTGTAAGCCGGGAAAATACGGTAGTAACTTTTGTTCAGTGCAGCAGAATTAGTGGGGATATGTAGGATCAGAATATATTTTACGAGATAAATTACAGAACACACCGTCTTTGTCAAAGTATGAAAATTTTCGTCGTAGTAGAAACGAGCAAAAGTGCAAAATGTCGGGGCCTAAATGAAGTGGCAAATCATGTGAAACTGATCAGTAGCCCCCTTTTTAAAAACTTCGAATCAGTTGGTAAATATGATGTATGAAGAGTTTTCACTTTGTACCTTTCACCAACGAACGCGGATAAAGCAAAGGATAACTCGAAACCAAGCTAATAGATTGAGATGTTAACAAAGCAGAAGTGGCTTGATGTTTTAGAGTGGGATTAAAGTGGGATTATATGGTGGACTATACTGACTTCAAGATGTTTTTTTTTAAAGTGATGTTTTTTGAAGGCAAACATCAAGCCATGGTTCAAGAAGAAAACAAATGCTTTCAGAAAAATGATTTTATATAAAACAATTATCCAATTTTGTAGAGAAAATTAACGAATATAACAAATATGTAACAAATATATAACGAATAGTTATATAACGAATAGCTATATAACAAATATATAACGAATAGCTATATAACGAATAGTTATATAGCAAATATATAACGAATATATAACGTATAGTTATATAACGAATAGCTATATAACAAATATATAACAAATATATAACGAATAGTTATATAAAGAATAGCTATATAACAAATATATAACGAATATCTATATAACGAATAGCTATATAAAATAGGTCCCAAAGACGCATGTATATGTGGTCGGCTTGATCACTCGGTTATATCTCGCTTGACGATCGCATTAGATATTTCAAAGTCTCTGAAGAATTATGACATAAAGGATAAAAGCAGAAGCTCTCTAGATATGGAATCACTGGAAGAGTCTTATGAATTATAAAGTCCTTCCTAACAGGTACGTCACTGAGGTCATTGTTAACGACCAGACCTAGGAAGCCCTAGCAATCAACGCAGGCGCCCTCGAGGAGTCGCTTCTCGGAACAACCTACCTTCTACTTGATCTAAATGATCTGCCTAAGGGTTTACTCCGATTATCTGTGAACATCTATGCTGATTATACAACGGTGTATTTTCTACTTAACAACCCGTTCCTCACAGACGCCGCAAGCCTCGCTGCTCTATCGCTATTTCCATGGAAAGTGCTCAGACGAACTACGTTCCTTAGTTCTTACCTTCACGGTTAAGACCAGCAGTGTTACGAACATTGTGGCAAACCTTCGTATTTCATTGGTGAGCTGTAAGTTCCACTCGAGCAGCTTCTTAACAGGAATCGCTGCTTTGTGAAACTGACTTTCAAGAGAATGTTTCCACAATCACTACAATATTACCTTGTTCAAGTCTAGGTTTAACCGTTTTCTTCCTCAGATATTCGTATAAACCGTACCTCTTACTCTGTAAACCTCTACCTCGAGTGAGTGGCTCGATGACTTCAGGAAGGTCATTTTTAAAAATTAGGAACATTGTAGATTCAAGGATAGAATCCTGGGGAACACCTGCATTAAAGCCAAAAAAGATCTAGAAGAGTGGCCATTCAAGACAACTTTCATTTCACGATTTGATAAGAAAAACTGAATCAGTTAAAAAATTCCTCCAGAAATACTATAACCTTTCAAATTCTGGTGAAGACCAGTACGTCAAACCATGTCAAATGCCTTCGAGATATGGATGGTATGCCATTTATTTCGTACGAAGAATTACAACCACTCAAAAAATATCACTGGTTGAACGATTGAATATTAATGATTTGCGAAATATTTCTGTTTTTTTAAATTTTGCGCACGTTTTGTATTTAGAATTTTTAAAGATAATATAATATTTCTTGGATATGTCATGTAAGCCACGTGAAACTGGAAAAATCTGAAATTTGTAAGACTTTTACGACACCATAATAACATGTAGTTTACTTTATTTATATATATAGACCCGTGTTTTTTTTTTTAAAGTGGCTAATAATATAATTATCTATCTATCTAGAAATCTATCCATGATGGCTGATACCTCGTTGATGAGTATGACCATCACAAAATACCAACTTATGATATCAACACCAGAGTCTTAGGAGAGTCATAGGAGACGTTCAAGATTTTTAATAAGCCTTTTCGATGTACGGTGATACATTTTCAGTGTTGTTTTACTTATTTTTAAAGCTCTGAAGCCATTTAACGCTTCTCTTTGTCCGTCGGCTTACGGCCTTGACCACATTGAAACATCGGTTCCCGTACGATTATCTAAGTTAAGCAACGTCGAGCCTGGTCAGTACCTAGATAGGTGACCGTTTGGGAATACCAGGTGCTGTAAATTTGGATGTGCGGGTGGCGTAATGGTTAATCGGAGAGCCGAGTTCCAATTCTCGTTGTGTTTGTTATATGAACTTACACGCAAATACCACTGGGCAAGGTATGAATACGGTGTATGGGGGTGTATCGTCAGTCGTAGCATCTTTGCAGTGAAGCGGACGACCATGTTTTACTCAGGTGAATTGGGATGCGGAACTGTACTGGTTCACAGCCTACATCCAACTCTCACACATGAACACATGAAATCGCATGGGCATTGAGACTGCTATATTCCGATTAACTGCATCGACCTGTCGGCTAAATTGTGTGAGGGTAATCGGAAGGGTTTCCCTACCTGACCGGTCAAAAGGAGCGCCTCTCCCCAACCCACCTGTTCCAAGTGGCTATTGGGTTGTCAGCCTGGGCGTAGAAAGTTTTGCCTAAGAGGACAAAGGCAGAAGAACTTCTAAGAGGGGCATGGGAACCTCAATATCTCAGGTGTAAAAGAAACCGGCAAACCATAGCACTATTTGGCCTTGTATGTCACCAAGAACCACAATTACAGCAGAAAAAGGAGGGAGTAGTGACCACAGCGACGCTAAATGCGCTAACTGAATAAATCAATGAATGTATGAATTCACTTCTACTCTCCCCAGTTATGGGTTAATTAGTAATACTTGTATCACTAAACCATTAAAAAATTCTTATAATCAAAAAATATTTCCTGGTTATAAATACATTCCAAAGGGTTGATAAACCGTAAAAACGAATCAATCACACTTATGATATCGATCAATGCTTGTGCATGAACTTTTAAAGGTGAGAATGAAATTGCACTGTGGGTCAATTACACTTTCTAAGCAAGAAGAGCATGTACTCAGAAACAAAGAACCTGTCAACGACATTATGATGCTTCCAAGCCGCAAGCCTTAGCTCAGAGTTTCTTTCTCCTAGTTAAGGGGCCCAACCCTTCTAGTGGGCTTACGACATCAACCCAGGTATTTCTACACCTCGGCGTCTGTACTAGATGGTCGTTGATCTCATGAAAGGATGCATCCACCCTTGTTTTTATCATATTTCCTCACCAGAAAAAAAAAGCCTGGTGGGGGAACCGGTTTAATCGCCGAAAACACGTCCATACAGCAGATAATACATAGTACGAGTAGCAGTCGCAGAGTAACCTCGCGCGCGCGCGCGCACACGCACGCACACACACATACACAAACAGACAGACACACACAAGTCTATCCATCTATCAATCAATCTGATAAGATAAGGAAAAAAATAAGAAACATTTATCATTTTTTACTTATTTTCATCACAGTTTGAGGTATGGAGAAGAATTCTGCTATTCTGATTTTTGCGTTGTATGGTTTTCTTTGGTTAATCAGGCTTCATGCGCATGTTTACGGTTTTTCCAGTTAGGCTTGGAATCCGTTAATCACTTCGCCTCTCCTTGAACTAGAAACGCAATAAATTATACTAACGTTTGTTTAACGAGTCTTGCAATATATAGCAGTCGGTAAAAACATTATATGTTCTAATTTAATATAAAAAGTTACGGTCCAAGTTCTCCGACTTCATTTTTTCGGTTTTTGCAAAAAGAAAGCGCTAGAAGCATTCACTGAGGAGATGGGTCAGTAATGTTCATGGCAATCCTAGAGAAAAATGAGAACCTTAAGTTAGTGATATAAAGTCGTCATACTCTTATTTAATGATATACAATGTCACCACTTTAATTTCTGGCTTCGTTCTGGGTAAAACGATAAACAACATACAACAGCAAGGTCTGATCCCGAGGTTTTGAGGAGCGTGGAACCACCTCTTAATTGCTGGTGTTCCCAGGTTCACTCTGACCCGGGGTGGTAGTACCTGTTAGGATCTCAGCTATGGGCAAATAGTTAACCCCCAAACTGGTGTCAAAACACTATGAAAGTGTAAAAATAGGTTTTAA